CGTGCCCTCACCACCACAACATTATGCCCAGCGCCACCAGGGGTATCCGTGGGCAGGTCTGCGCCACCAGGGGTATCCGTGGGCAGGTCTGCCTCCACCAGGGGTATCCGTGGGCAGGTCTGCCCCCACCATGTGCTTTTGACTGTGACGCGGACACACGGAACTAAATCCTGGAAACACGACTCCTCAGGCAGTTGTCTAGTATTAACGGCTATGATTATTAAGGTTGGTTATTGTTGTGTGCTGGTGGTGAATGACAATAGTTGTGAGTCGTGCGGCCCGCCCTCATCAACACAGCGGCCCGCCCTCATCAACACAGCGGCCCGCCCTCATCAACACAGCGGCCCGCCCTCATCAACACAGCGGCCCGCCCTCATCAACACAGCGGCCCGCCCTCATCAACACAGCGGCCCGCCCTCATCAACACAGCGGCCCGCCCTCATCAACACAGCGGCCCGCCCTCATCAACACAGCGGCCCGCCCTCATCAACACAGCGGCCCGCCCTCATCAACACAGCGGCCCGCCCTCATCAACACAGCGGCCCGTCCTCATCAACAACGGTCAAACGTTCATTCCATGCAACCGACAACACCCCCCCCCCCGTTTATGAATCAAAACCATTTTACAATTCATACAATTGCAGACCAAAATAATGTAATACGAGAGTACCGATTGTAAACACACAGCGAAAACACTGATGAATGCCTCTTTAAGAACGTCTAAAGGTTTGAACGTTCACAGTACAAATGTCAAACGTATTCCATTCACAAACAGCTGGTGTCTTGGTGTAGCTTAATATGCATTTGGCCCTTTATGATGAGGACTGGGCTCCCAGTGAGAGCAGAGGTCTCCTAGGGACTTGAAGAGTGTTCCTAGTATATACTATGCTAGACTAGTATACACTAGGCTCTAGTCCCTAGCCCACGTACAAGTGTACTTGTTTCTGAGCCTATTACCCTAATCAGCTCTATCATATCTACATGTGAAGCTGTGTATGGAGTCAGCCTCCACCACATCACTACTGAATGGATTCTATCTGTTAATTATTCTGACACTGAAAAAGTTCTTTCTAACGTCCCTGTGGCTCATTCGGGTACTCGGTCTCCACCTGTGTCCCCTTGTTCGCGTCCCACCAGTGTTGTGGTGGTGGGAAGCGGGTAGTGTGGGGAGGGGGGGGGGAGGTTGTAGTTACCATGACATAACTATTCTCTAATAAAGCTGTATAGCTCACTTTATGTCATATCCTGGAATATTGTACATAAACTAGTGCTTACATAGAGTACTTGAAGTGTTACTTAATAGACTTAAGTAAAAGTGAAAAATACCCATAGAAACCAACTAATTTAATATATATTAATGATCACCAGATATTTAACACATCATAGAGACTGTGTGTATATTATATTTGACAAGCGTCTTAAAGATGTAATAAACTGCCTGATGAACTTCTTCGTTTCCTGCACTGTGAATGGCCAACGACCACTGTGGGAACCTCGTTCGCACACGTTAAGGACCAATTCCCGCGCGCGTGTGCGTGTGTGGCCCGAAACGAGGCGAAGGGTAATGATACATCTGAACCCAAGAGGTGCATAATGGGCGTCTTGTCCTCTCGTGGAGCACTTGAGAAGTGACCGCACCAAGTGGCTGGGTGCTCCTGTACACAAACACCGCCACTTGAGAGGCTCAAGCTGATGTGGGAGATGAACGGGAGGCTTGAAAATTTGCCTGGTGGTGTAGTGGAAGCTGAGCGTAGTCCCGTCCGGTTTGTAAATATCATTTTTTAGGTGTGTGTGGTCTATTAAGGTTTTTCTGTATATATAATGAAGACAATATGCTACACGTATATGGTGGCGTGGGGGACCTAGTATAGGGGGCGTGAATACTTAACTCAGTGACTTTAAAGAAAAGTTGGAGACACAAAGTTCCTTGCTCTCCCGCCGCGAGAACAAGGCAAGATATCAGACAATGAGGTGAAGATAACACACACACACACACACACGTTATGATGACAGGTGTCTGGGCAGTGGTACAGGGCGCAAGTGCATGGTCAAGAATGGGAGAAATATAGTGAGGTGGAGACTATATGATGGTGACGACCACACATTAGTCGTCGGGACTCATTCAGCACCGCTCCTGTGCCAGGTAAGTCCACTACGGGCTCACCATAGCCCGTGCTACTTGGAACTTGTTCCGAGTAGCTGAATCTATAACAACATTAGTCGTCCACATGGAGGGCTGGTCCAGAGAGAGATCCACCCAGGTGTTTAACCTACAATACAGCGACAACTCTTCCACCTGACTCTAGGCTGTCACGAGACCCTAATATTTACCCCGAGAGGCAAATCTATACCTTTGTTTGGAACGCAACTTTCGAGATGCAAACGCCATCTAGTGGAGAGGGGAAAAAAACAAATCCTGGTTTGTTTTTTCTACCACATTCGTGGTCATAGTTCAAACAGTGCTTACCAGAATGTGTAAGTTTCCCCTCTGACCTACATGGGTGTTAATATTGAAGCTTTCTAAGCCTATGTAGTGAGTTATTGAGCTGTCCACCACAGTTGGTGATTTTAGGAGCTTTTTACACTCTCAGATTATAATTACGAAGTCAATCCTGGCCTTAACATATCCGGTATATCATCAAGTGTTCAGGTACATCGTCAAGTGATCCACTGTTCAGATAATATTCACCAAGTTCACCGTATCTTAACCCAGGAGGTCGTAAGTCGGTCAGTTTAAGACATGATACAATATAACCCAAGAAATGTATCTCTTTCACAAAGGTGACACACATGATGTATCCGACACTGGAGTTTTGAGACAGCTGCCAGACACGTCTGTATCTGTCGGAAAACCCACCACCATTTACTAAAATATAATACAATAGGCAGATAATAATGCTGCTTGGTTGTATAAATAAATGGACTCATAGAAAACGAGATTTCCACCCGTTGGAAAACGAGATATCAATGCCATGTTGCCATTAATTTCACCAGCTAATTCTGTTGGGAATTAAACTTAATACAGCAGTTTTTGGACTTATCATAAAAACATCTCACTTGAATTAACGTAATTATTAGTACCAAGAGTAAACGTGACCTTTCTACCACTTCTTGACATCTGGACAAGAGAGCCAGAAGCCAGATTCACGAACCAGTTACACAAGTACTTATGATCGTGTACATCTTTCCCTAATCTTTAATGGCTTTGTTTACATTTATTAAACAGTTTAACAGCATGAAAACTTCCCAATCAACTGTTGTTATTGTTATAAACAGCCTCCTGGTGTTTCGGAGCTCATTAACTGTTTAATAAATGTAAACAAAGCCGCCAAAAATTGAAAAAAGATGTACAGGTTCGTAAGTGCTTGCATAACTGCGTCGTGAATCTGGCCCCCAGGGCGTCAGTTGAGGAGGGCCAGGAGTCAGCCATTGTTAATTTAACAGGTCGCTGGAGCAAATTTAGCTCCTAGAATTCCCCCTTGGACAGCTGTGTTATAGAAGTTCTTCTGTTATCGACACGCAGCTACGTCTACTATCAGGGAAGTGTATTACCGAAACCCGTTCATTATCTATACATTCCTGGCCAATTATGTTAAGGTATATATTGGGCAAACCGGTTAGCACACGAGGCAGTGACCAACCCCATAGTGAGCAATACTCGTCTCTTTATTTAAACTACCAAATATTTCCTCTGATATAGCTGTCATATATATATATATTAGGATTACAGCTATTATTTGTAAGTGCTCTTTGACAGGAACAGAAGAGGAAGTAGAATTAACACAAGTAACTTTGTACTCCAGTAGATGAGTTGGAGGCCAGCCTCACCCACACGGTGGATCGTCTGGCTTATTCATCAGTGTTCATACTGGTTGTATAGGATATTACAACAAGGTCTCCTAATTTTAGTTAATATATATGTGTAGTCTTGTACTGGAGTGAATATCTGGTAATCAATCATTTTGATTAACTACATATCAACCATATACCCCCCATAATGTGTAAGGTTAGCGATTTGTGAGAATTTTAAGAAATACAGTCCACTTTAAACCATCATAGAATTTGTTATCAAAATATAAATTAACGTAAAATATAAATTACTATATACATTAATATAAATTAAATAAATATAAATCTCACAGATCAATTCCTCACAGTATCCCCCCTAGTGGATGTATCCCCCCCCTAGTGGATGTATCCCCCCCAAGTGGATGTATCCCCCCTAGTGGATGTATCCTCGCCCCTAGTGGATGTATCCTCGCCCCTAGTGGATGTATCCTCGCCCCTAGTGGATGTATCCTCGCCCCTAGTGGATGTATCCTCGCCCCTAGTGGATGTATCCTCGCCCCTAGTGGATGTATCCCCCCTAGTGGATGTATCCTCGCCCCTAGTAGATGTATCCCCCCTAGTGAAGGGATCCTCGCCCCTAGTAGATGTATCCCCCCTAGTGGATGTATACTCGCTCCCTAGAAGATGTATCCCCCCTAGTGGATGTATCCTCGCTCCCTAGTAGATGTATCCCCCTAGTGGATGTATCCTCGCCCCCTAGTGGATGTATCCCTCCTAGTGAATGTATCCCTCCTAGTGAATGTATCCTCCCCCCTAGTGGATGTATCCTCCCCCCTAGTGGATGTATCCTCCCCCCTAGTGGATGTATCCCCCCCTAGTGGATGTATCCTCCCCCCTAGTGGATGTATTCTCCCCCCTAGTGGATGTATCCCACCCTAGTGGATGTATCCTCCCCCCTAGTGGATGTATCCCCCCCTAGTGGATGTATCCCCCCTCCCCTAGTGGATGGAGAGCTACCTAGTGAGGACGGCACCTGGTGTTGAGTACGCTACTTACCCATAATACTGGAGTTAAGTAAATGTAACATTCATTAAATTAATTAGAAAAAGCCCTTATAAGGATGAGCTGGCTGGCCACCTGTCACCAGTTACAGGTGGCCAAGAACTGGTGACAGGCGACAACTGGTGACAAAGCAAGGGATCTGTACTCACCATGGGGGTCCAGATGGACGTGGTCCCGGCCGAGGCTCTGGACTGGCTCTTGGACCTGGCCCGCCAGATCTTCTTGGCCACCAGTCTGGACGCGTGGCCACTGCCCCCGGACCGCGTCCTCTGCATCACTGCAGGAAGAAGAGACTGTAGGAGCCCCTGACTACCTCGATGACCGCCCTGACCTGGGTTGACCTGTGGATGTGATGACCGGCTCCTCAGATGATAGAGCATCTGGGCCAGGTGGCCGGATGCCTGGAGGGCCGAAATGGACCGCTGGAACTGCGGCAGGCCCCCAGCGATGCCTTCCACCTCAAATTCACTGGTGTCGACTGATGCGTCTATACTGGAGCGTTTGTATACAATGTGGGCGCCCATCTGGCTAATCCGGAAGGCCTCGGCCTCAGAGACGAGCATATCCCGCGTGCCCATGTCGTCGGTGACGGTGATGGAGTACCGCGGTGACGTGGGCAGCGACGACGGGATGCTCATCGAACACTCGCTGCTCGAAAAGTCGCTGGAGTCGGCCTTCGAGAGCTTTCTGCGCGACTTCCGACGTTGGCGAATGATCTCGACTGGGACGTTGATACGGAATCCAGCGAGGATGAAATGCGGCAAAGGGTCACCAACCTGGATACCCTTTGCCTTCTTCTTGACCTTCTTTTCCTCCTTGACTTGGAATTGTTTCAAGAAGTCTTCGTGTTCCGAGCTTGGAACCCATTTGGACTTTATATTACGCAGAGTTTTGTCGTAATTTACCGTTTTAAACTTATCGATTTTTGTTTTGTCGACTGTCTTTTTGAGGGACCCGCCACCCTGTTCAATATCACATTTTAAACCTAATTTAAATACATTTTTTAGTTTGCTCTTTTCTGGTGTTTTTTCCTGCTTTGTTTTCTGTCCCGGAGGCCCTAAGGGCGCTCCTCCAGCGGCCGCCGTCTTCTCTGCCCAGGCAAGTTTGGCGGCCACCACGCCTTTCCGAGGCTGTGCTTCGCGATCCTTGTCCGAGGCCAACTTTTTGGCTGCTGCCGCATCCTTCGCCGTCTGCTGCAGGTGGTCCTCCGATTTAATATGAGCACTGGCCGCACTTTCCCGTCTCTGCCACAGCTTCTTGAGCATGGAGGTGTTGCTAGTACCTGCCTCTGGAGTAGCTGGTGTTGCTGCTGCTTCCTGCGCCTGCTGGAGAGCTAGCGCTTGAGCCCGAGCCTGAGCCTGGGCTTCTGCTGCGGCAGCCTCCGTGACGCTGCGCGACTCTGCTCCGACCTTAACCATGTCTTCGGCCGTGGCGTCGTCGTCAGTCTGCACACACATGTCGAGGTGCGGGTCGGTCTGACACCCGACACTACGAGTGCCAGGGATATACATCTCGAGAAGGTCTTCATCGTCCTCGTCTTCTTCAGTCAATTGCTCTTCCAGAAGACGAGAGGCGACGTGTTGCAAGTTGCAGGAACCGAAACTGCGCAGCAACTGCTGGTACACCTCAGGAGGCAAGTCGTACCTGAGCTCTCCGACGGATAGTAGTCGTTCTCGCGTCTGGCCCGCGACGACGGGAAGGCTAGGGTAGACCCCAGGGGGCAGGTTTCCAGCGTGGGGCAACTGGAATGCTGGACCGTAGTTACTAGCGCCCATGTACATACCAGAGCTCGTGCCTGGACATCCAGCTACTCCTGGAATCGAACTAGCAGCTCCTACACTCGAACTCGCGGCCATTCCAGCCCCCATGCCCACTCCCGAGGCCATTCCAGCCCCCATGCCCACGCCAGAGGCCAATCCAGGCCCCATGCCCACTCCTGAGGCCATTCCAGCCCCCATGCCCACTCCTGAGGCCATTCCAGCCCCCATGCCCATTCCCGAGGCCATTCCAGCCCCCATGCCCACTCCCGAAGCCATTCCAGACCCCATGCCCACTCTCGAGGCCATACCCATACCCATGAGAGGGACCATGCCCTCGCCAGCGGACATGCCCAGCACGTCGTGGACGCCATGATCGGCCTCTCCGACGCCATCGAGGATGTCGTCGTCCGTGTCCTCATAGTCTTCGCCGGTGTCTGTGGTGTCAGAGGTGACGCTCGTCAGCCGCTTGCGTCTGCGCGTCGCGGCGCGCGGGGACGGCTGCGCATGAGGCCACAGAATAAATTCGCGGCTGCGATTGTTGATTTTTTGGAAGTGTTCTTCTACCTGAGGAATGTCTTCCGTCCTCTGTGGGTTGACGCCGTCGGGAAAAAGTTTCTTGCCGGCATCGCTCATGTAGCGCCAAGTCTTCCTGGTGAGCAGCCATCGCTCCTTCAGTTTGGCCGTTGTCGTCTTGGCCGCCTGACCCGTTTTCCCGTCCTTTGCATCCTTCCTGTCCTTCCCCTCCCGTCTCTCCTGTCGTCTCCTGCCCTCCATGGTATCCTGTCGTCAGCGGACGTCACGCTGCAGGAGGCGTGGGCGAGCAGGCCACCTGCCTCATGTCACTTTGGCGATTGTGAGGCTGCCGTTGGCACACGCAAGGGAGCAGTGCCCCTCTCCGCCGAGCCCTGGGGGCCATCACTGCACTGATCACTGTCGACGCACACTGCACTGCACCATGACCCTCTAGTCACAGTGCCAGGGCATGACACGGCATGTCACTGCCTCACCTTGCCTGCTACGGCAGCAGGAGTTAGGGGCGGCGCAGCACCGGTCCCGCCCAGTGGTTGGCGACTGGCCCGGCCTGCCCACTCCTGGCGCCAGATGCCAGGCCAACACCACCACCACGGCTCCAACACCACCACCACGCCCGCCACCACCCACACACTACACCACCACCACCACCCCTTCCCGCCCTCGCCTGTACACGCAAACACGTGAACGATATACCCCGCCGTCCCCCGCCCTCCACCTTGCGTCAACCCTGTCGTTAAAGAAGGCAGAAGAGGGCAGCTAGCGGAGGGCAGCCAGAGGATGGCAGGCGGGGCCACAGGGCCGGTACACAGCTGGCAGTGAGGTAAGGGCGCCAGGTGGCAACACACCGCCCTCACACACACACACACACACACACACACACACACACACACACACACACACACACACACCACGCCCACAAGCCTAACAATATCCAGTAATAAATGTAGCAGTCCAGCGAGAATGAGAACTTGTGAGTGTTCATGAGGTATGAGGGAGGGGGAATAAGGGGGGGGGGGGTTAATGGGGGGGAAGGGGGTGACGGGGGAAGGGGGTGACGGGGGGAGGGGGTGGCGGGGGGAGGGGGGGAAAGCCAGGGGGAGCACACCTAAAATATGCCTGTCAGGGAGGGAGGGAGATCACGCCTCGTGGAACCCCCCCAGACTCAACCATACCCCATCCCCCCTCTCCCCCCATACACCCCCTCTCCCCCCATACACCCCCTCTCCCTCCATACACCCCCCTCCCCCCATATCTCACTACCACAAAGGAATTTTTGTTTGGTTGGTAGATGATAATTGGGGTATATTCCACGCCCGTCCTCTCCACCCTTCACAACGTCACTAAAATGATGTACTAAATTGCCCGAAGCTAACCTAACCTAACCGCGAGAACCCGCGAATAGAAAACGGGGGAGACGACGTCAATTTTGCGAGCCGCTATGACTTAATACACCATTTTTTGGCCTTGAGGAGATTTATACGTCACAATTTCGATGTGCTATTCGAGAGGATTTATGAGTGTCGAGGAAACGTGAATGGCGGGACCCAAGAGCTGAGGCTTGCGCTATATGCGTCTAGATAGACGGGTACTTCTATGTACCTGGGAGATACGCACTTTCTGGGGGGGGGGGGGGGGAGGGGGTGGGGTCGCATCTTGAAGTCATCAGTAATTGACCCCCTAGGAGACCTTGATAGGCCTTAGGGGCTTCTTGTCTCCCAACTCTGAGAAAGCACAAGATGACATAGATTTCCTGGGATGCAGCACCGACCTTAATTATCCAAGATGCCATTGTATGGCTCCCTCCCTCTCTCCCCCTCCCTCTCTCCCTCCCCCGCTCTCTCCCTCCCCCCCTCTCTCCCTCCCCCCCTCTCTCCCTCCCCCCCTCTCTCCCTCCCCCCCTCTCCCCCTTTCTCCCCCCTCTCCCTTCTCTCCACAACCCCCGTCGTTCCCACTCTCAGGGGGCTCAGGGGGCACATGTAATACTCGCCACAATTGAGATGCCTGGACGCGGAATTACCGCACCAGAGCTGCCCCTCAAAGCGGCTCTGTGGTATCCACTGCTATGCCGAAAATAGAGCACTTCTGTGCCCCGTACTTCCACGTGCTGGGCATAGCGAGGATTTCCATCTAAATTTACCTGAAGTTACCTGAAGGTCACCACCTCTCAAGTCGGCCTCGACGAGGACAAGTAGCCGGCAGCTTGTCTATACTTCTTCACTTAGGGCTGTAGCCGAGCACAGCTGGAGAATGTCTTATTCCACTCAGATGGGGAGACTGACCATTGTGGAATGACAGGAGTAAACCAAATGTAGAATGACATTTAGTATACCAAAGGTGCAATGAGAGAAGTAAAGCAAGGATAGAATATATAAACCGAATTGATAGACAAATCAATGTTTTCAAACAAGCCCAGAAGGAACAGTGACTGCAATCCGAGAGCCTTGAGACATCTCTACAGACAGACGAACCACGTACATCAATTACAAAACAATAACAAATTACAAATAACTACAATATAAAAATAATTACAATAACAATTACAAATAACAAAATAAGAGGAATGAGTTATGTTAAACGTGTATGTCACTGGACTCCCCCCATACAGGTGCGACACCAGATAACTTTTCATCAATAAATGGAAAGTGTGTGAACACCCAGTCTATAATAGCCAGTATAGGCAGTATAGTCTATAATAGCCAGTATATCTCGAAATGCAGTATAGGCCTACACACGAAAATATTAAAAAAAACCCGGCTCTCAAAACCTTGTCCAGAGATCCTAAGGTTGTCTTAAGAACCTTGAGGTTTTCTACTTCGAAACCTTATCGAAGTAAACTGTTGACGCTCTGCACAATCGGTTCAAGAGAAGAGTCGTTCCCTGCTTAACAGCAGAGTCGTTCACGACACTAATGAAGTCGTGATAGTACGACCCGGAGCTAACTAGCGTCAACACAGGAAGCCTGGAGTTAGAAATAAACTATTACGACAACTCTGTATCATCAACCTTCACTCGAAACCATCCACCGATACTACCTCAAATTACGCTATCTTTCCCATCAATCACAACAGATAGCTATTCCGCATTCCCCCCCCCCCCCACCCTCCCTTATTCCGAAACCCATTTTTAAATGGGGTCTTTTCTGAATCTCAACTTCTCCAATTTGGATCCAATATTTCGTGTTCTATTAATAGTTTTTTTTTTTGGCTATGTCCCTACAACCATTTGCATACATCAGTCAGGTCTACCCTTTACTCTTCGCCTTGCTAGAGAATGTCAATTAAGGTTTCTTAATCTCTTCATGAAAGAGATTTATAATTATTGGGAGTAGAAAAACTCTCTAAATCATCAACAGGTGATTAGCAGGTAAAGAGGGACTCGCAGCAACGCTCGACTTTTGAAGCCATCACTCGACCCTTGGCGCCAACGTTGGACATTTGGCGCCAGCGTTGGACATTTGGCGCCAACATTCGACATTTGGCGCCAACATTCGACATTTGGCGCCAACATTCGACATTTGGCGCCAACATTCGACATTTGGCGCCAACATTCGACATTTGGCGCCAACATTCGACATTTGGCGCCAACATTCGACATTTGGCGCCAACATTCGACATTTGGCGCCAACATTCGACATTTGGCGCCAGCATTCGACATTTGGCGCCAGCATTCGACCTGTGTTTCCAGCCCTCGACCTGTAGCACCAGCCTTCGACCTTTGGCGCCAGCACTAAAGCTTGGACGGCGCCCTCCGCTTATCGCACCTCCAGAATGTAAACAAAACACATTATTACCAAACACTCCGCGTAAACTGAGCAACGGGCGCGAGCAGGCGTAACACTGCGCACCACGAAGTAGTTCCCGCAGTACCAGGCCACAGCAGTCCAAACACACACTGACACCCCCCCCCCCTCTCCTCCACACACACACACAATACTGTGTGTGTGTGTGTGTATGTCACTAGCTTGGAAAGTCCCTCAGGGTCGCCATTTCCGCTCCTGTCCCTAGCTAGTTGTTATCGTGCACGCGCCCGCGCACACACACACACACTTTTGTATCTTAGCTACAGACGAAAACAGTCCATATATCGGGTGACTGGTGGCTCCCGCGGGGTCGTCATTATATGGCCTCGTTAAGGAAGCGGTTGAGCACTACCGCATCTCAATTACCACTACCCAACACAAAAATTAATAACAAAAAATCCGCCCAGCAAACGCCTCAAAGCAACGAACACTGAAGGAGACATTATTGTTACAGTGTATAAATAGCCTTGTGTGCTGGGAGCTGCGTGTGTGTGCGCTGGGAGCTGCGTGTGTGTGCGCTGGGAGCTGCGTGTGTGTGCGCTGGGAGCTGCGTGTGTGTGCGCTGGGAGCTGCGTGTGTGTGCTGGGAGCTGCGTGTGTGTGTGCTGGGAGCTGCGTGTGTGTGCTGGGAGCTGCGTGTGTGTGCTGGGAGCTGCGTGTGTGTGCTGGGAGCTGCGTGTGTGTGCTGGGAGCTGGGATAATCACGGTAGTGAAGAAGGCAGGTGTTCCTCTTGCCATGAGCAGAGCCACCCAACTGAAGGAGCATCTCGCCTGTACCTACTCCTCCATCCCATCCTCAACTATGAAAAACAACTGACAATATATATAAATTTGCGTTTTTTCTTCTTCATATCCTCCTTATTAGTTATTAGTACTCTCAGGAGGATGGGTATACATATTATATAATATATATATATATATATATATATATATATATATATATATATATATATATATATATATATATATATATAACACCAAGAACTGTTCTCCTGTGAAGGATTCGAACCTTAGAAAGCCAGATGCATCACACAGGCTGACATAACCGGTACACTAACCACTACAACATGACAGATCATCATCAACATCAATCAGATGTTGAAAGACAGGAAGCACTTCCACAACCTATCATCCCCCAACGACACTAGTCAATAGCAAGAGAATAGATGTTCAAAACCACTTCAATATACCCTCCATAAAACACCACAATATACCTCATAAAAACACCTCAATATACCCCCATAAAAACACCTCAATATACCCCCATAAAAACACCTCAATATACCCCCATAAAAACACCTCAATATACCCCCATAAAAACACCTCAATATACCCCCATAAAAACACCTCAATATACCCCCATAAAAACACAACATAAGACAGAGGGACGCCCTAGACATGTCCAAACAGGCCATGATACATATCCCGACCAGCCGTAATACATGTCCAGACAACTGCACCTGCAGCACCACACACACACACACACACACACACACACACACACACACACTGACTCACAAGGTGATGTGGAGAGGAGGGCTGCCAAGCAGGCCTCAGGATCCCCTCAGAGGCTATGAAGACGCATTTAATCCGTACTCTGATATATTATTCACCCCCCCCCCCTATCTCATATTATATATATATATATATATATATATATATATATATATATATATATATATATATATATATATATAAACTGAAAACTCACACCCCAGAAGTGACTCGAACCCATACTCCCAGAAGCAACGCAACTGGTATGTACAAGACGCCTTAATCCACTTGACCATCACGACCGGACATAATGAGGTGATAGCCGAGGCTATTTGAACCACCCCACCGCCGGCACTCGGATAGTAATCTTGGGCATAGCATTTTACCAAATCACCTCATTCTTTGGGGCACACGTGAGGAACACAAATGCGAACAAGCCTGAATGGTCCCCAGGACAATATGCAACTGAAAACTCACACCCCAGAAGTGACTCGAACCCATACTCCCAGAAGCAACGCAACTGGTATGTACAAGACGCCTTAATCCACTTGACCATCACGACCGGACATAATGAGGTGATAGCCGAGGCTATTTGAACCA